AGGCATTATAGAAACGTTATTAAAAGGAAACATCGGAGGATAGACTCAAAGTAAAGGTTCTATGTAATATTTTGTTCATTTGACCACCTGTTTGAATGGGGGTGATTTTAAAGGACACTGTTTTGCAGTACGGACTGAACTTCATGTAATATATACTAGATTGTTTAAGTTGATCTTTATAGGAGAGAGGCGGAAACCGAATTGGAACATGAACCCCGTGCATGAGGACCGTGAGGAATCCGTCCCCGGACTATATCAGCGATTCGGCTCATCTGTACTCCTACCCCCGTTCTTTCCGTAATCAATGCCTAATAAATCTAATGCAACTAACCCACCTTCACTTCAGGCCAGGCCAGAGTCTCACTTCTATTCTTTTTACCTAAATACGAGTATTCAGCCATGCCTAAGTCCTTCTGTATTATAACTTCACTACTGGTTTACACCGTTTGTGACAAACTTCTTCGGTGTGTATGGAATGCATATATTTCAACTTCTACACAGTGGAAGAATTGGAACCAATGTCTGCGTTTCGCGTTCGCCACATTCCGTATTCCACTGGCAAGCTATTAACAACATCACCATGATTCATTTAGAATTGTTTCGTTTCGGGGTTCCCTTTACGGCAACCCAATATAACCGCCAGTGATAATGTTACGCCAAGCTCCTTTCCATACGGGATTGTGTTCGACTCCGTTTTCTCTGTTATAAAACCTCTTTTAGATCAGCATTCAAGGTCTGGGCTCGAACACAATCGGCATTTAACGAAAATGCGCATACCTACCTTATACTTTAGGGCGCAACGTAATTTCAGGTCCGGTTGAAGCTAATGGGAGGGCCAAGCACGATGCCTCAGCCTAACAAGAACGGGTGATTGCTGCAACTAGTTTGCAGGTGTTTCCTTGAGTACCAAAATCGTTGTGATGACTGGTGCAGGGGTGTTCCGAGAGAATCTCGGAAGCCGTGGCCCAAAAGAAGAGAGATGCAATGTAAACCCTTGTTTAATCAAACACCATCTTGCTTCTACCGTGTAAATTGGCCTTTGGGTTGGACCATAACCTCACTTCTACACTTTCTGTCTAAAATGCGAACATTCAGCTACGACAACAGAGCTAATGGGGCCCCCATCGGCTGCGTTCTCAATGAGATATCAACTTTGGACAATTAAAGCCTTTGTCAAGATAAAGAAAAAGCAAATATAAAGTGTTAGATCACGAAACGCACAGAGCTAGCAATGTGAAGTTGCTGTACAGTCTGCAGCGCTTTTATTTGTGACCGCATGATATTTGATAGTTACTTTGGTGTTCGTCTTACCCTAATACACACGGGCTGGCCTCCTAGAACACATGTATTCGACCCAGGTTAATGCCTTCTTTGACCTGGTGAGAAATCTACACAGATAGTTTATAAACTAAGAACATTTAGACTTTGATAGATCCAACCTTAACAATATTTTGCATGCGTTAACCTAATTTTGCCTTCGATGCACAAGAAGAGTACAGCTAAATCTGCGCATCTAAGCATCACATAATGTCAATAAGCGTAATAAATTCAATGCCTACCGGTATTTTAATTAACATGCAATGACCTTGAGGACGCCCGTAGGAAAAATAGCCGAGTTGGATCGCTTGTGAATGCTCGGGTGGGTTCTGCGTCTCTGGATTTGCTATTAGAGAAGTATCAGATTGAAAGGTGGGCTATTTATCTTACCATGTTACTTTTATCACATTGACTCAGATAGCTATGAATTTAACAAGGTAGTCTCCGGTTAAATTGGTCCAAGACTGCCCTTATTCACTCAAATTCCAATCAATGGTTGGGTAATTTAAGTTGTTGGTCGTACACAGACTGTGCTTGTTCATTATTAGTCTTTATGAAGCGCCTAAGGTATGGTTTGGTTTTTATAGAACATGAAATGAATGATCACTTTGCTATTTGGGCACTCGTCTCTTGTGGGCAACATTGAAGCGGTCATTCTACCTAGTGTAATTATTTTTCACTTTGAATTTCAGGCACACGTTAAGCCTTATTTGGTTTAGTATATACTTTAACATTTCACCTAGTTTGAGTTAGCTGATGTCGAGAGTGCGCCTGGCTTATAGTTCATGCAAAGATAAGCTATCTGGTAGTGCGTTGCATACGTAGTGCCGTGTCGTTTGCTGTTCATTAGTTTCCTAATTCACTATGTCTCGCCAGTATCACCCCCAAAAAATGCACCTTGATTTTCCCTCGTTTTTAAAATACCATGATTTCCTTCATTGCGTTTTGTCCCTTGGGTTATACGTTTCAAGAAACTTTTGCTGCTGTTCTGAGTCGTCTCACCAAAAGTTTGTAGTTGGTCAGAATCTTGCTTGGAGATTTGGGTCCCTGATACGATTCCCCTTGTAGGCAAATAATGGGTAAATGACCGGTACACTGAGTTCACTTTTAGGTCGTAACTATTTTGGTCGTATAAAATTCCGATTAGTTGTGGCATTATAGGTTGGTAACCGTCTGTAACCTAAATTTATGCTTCTCTGCTTACAGATTTCATCTTAAACATTGCTACTGTGTCACCTACGTTGATAAGATAAATAGGCTACGGCCAAATTAATTGCATTTAAATAACTTTAGAACCAAATTTGCACAAGCAGTTGAAGTTAATTGCACTTCTTGCATGTAGACATTAAACCATGTTGACACTCCTTTAGCCTACCTGGAAGGCAGTATCAGGGCGCTATTATGGCAAGTGAACCTCTTGAAAGTTCCAACAACATGCCCCACCTTGGCACTGCGGATCAGAGTTCGAGAATGAACAGTTTCGGCGGGTCCGGTATCGACGATTTCATCAGCCCAGATTTCGAGTTTGATCAATTTGAAACTGAACTTGCTGCAACGAAAGGTAGTCTTTCTCACACCTTAGTCTTGCTTATGACATGCCTATTAGGCATGCCCAAATAGTCATGCTTTTTTTCTGAGTCTCCGGCTATGATTCCAGGCCTTTGAAGGTAAACACTGAATGAATTGGCTTGCACCTACGTAAGTACTGTCAAGATGACGAATCCAGAATGCAAAAGGGAGTGATATCGAAGCCCTCTTGAAGTATTTTCACCGTCATATGCTGTGTTCCCGCGATTTCATGAATCTGTGCAAGTTCGTCATTAGATCACCGATTAAAGTGGTGTTTAATCAAGAAGTTCCACTTAGCTTTAGAGCTCTTTGTAATTTTCAAGGACCTGTGCGGATAAGTGAGTGAATTAGGCGGTGTGGAGCGTACCAATTTATACCCACTCAAGGGCTTTCTCTCAATACGTCAATATCAGTAATTTTGAGAACGTGGTTTTCATTTCTCCTCCATGACGCCAGTGGCCTAATTGGATCGGTGAGAAACTATAAGTATACAGCTTTTTGATTGTACCAATCACTTCTGCCCTCACCAATATGTCATTTTCCCTGCCCTTCCTTATCGAAGTATCGTTGTTGCAACCTCAGAAATCCGTTTGTCCAAACACAATTAGTCATTTTGTGCTCTTTTCACAACCCTCTTTAATAGTGTTTAATTGTTCGAGATAAATGTCGAGTAACAAGGCAAGCCGTTTTAGGTTTCAATTGCAATGAAGGTATGAAAATTAACACTCGGTTTGTGCTTCTTCGCATCATTATTGCATCATCGCGTTTCCTACTGCCACCGCTTTCTTCGCTACCTTACCATGCATCGTCGTTTTGCATGCCTTCTTATCTCATTTCGTCGGGTCCAAATGAGCACTTTTATGGCTACCCACACTTCATTTCTTGGTTTCGCTTCTTGTTGAGTTTGTTGTTTCTACTAAGACAGCGCTTTTTACTCGATTGAACTGACACCGCACGCTGTTGTTGAAACGTCTACTTGTTTTTCTTATATGACGTACGGTGATGCTTCTCACTGAGCTCGTTTTTAGGTGCTGATTTAGCTGAAGAGGTGGGTAGAACTCCTCACCCGTAACTATAACCGCGTATCAGCAGGTAGTTGAGGTTCGTGGATCGCTTTGATCCACTTCTACGGCACTTGGGTGATTTAAAATAGTGCACGTTTGCCATCAAATACTAAACTTACAAAGCAATGTCGTTATCCTCCTTGCGTGACTAATTTCTGTGTCGATTTAACTTGGATTGCCTTACATTTATTTTAACTTTGCGGCAACGGTTCTGCTGCATGCTCTACTTCGCTTTTCTGTGCGTGGGAAATAAAGCAGTTTTTTCATGTTTATTACTGATGATTGAAAAGTATCACCCATAACACTTCTCTGCGTACATAAAAACTCGCATTGCTACCTTTGTTTCATTATCTTTTCGTTTAATCGTTAGAGCGCTTGTACCTCCTCATTCTGTGAATAAGAGCAACGACTTTCCAGCTTAATGGTGTCGCTAAAATGATTTTCTCTTTGTCACCATACGCAGTTGGAGCCACACCCGTGAGGGTA